TTGTTTAGAGCATCAGTCACTTCTCTGATGGCACGAGATACAGATTGCTGAGACATCAATGTGCCATATGTTCCACCAACTAATTTTTGGTAACTTCCAGTAGCATAGAAGGACAAAGCTATCAAAATCTGCAAACGCAGTAAATAATATATATAAAATTACAATATAAAAGAACCTATATAATTTTATGTTAAATAGACACCTATAATAGGAATAAGCAAACAGAGTTAAATCACTCACTTTATGTTTAGGTGATATATCACTTCTTCTTTTCGGAGATTGCATATACGGCTTTAATTCGTTCATTATCTCTTCAAAAAAGTCCTTAGTCACACGGTAATTAACCCTAAACTCATCATCACTCATGGAAGAAGCTTTGTCCATATATCGCATCATCCGTCGTTCATTTCGCCTTTGTTTTAATTGTAATGCACGGTTACGTCGTAGAATAATGACCGGAAGAGCTAAACGTGCCATAATTTTATTGAAAAAAATAATATACTTGCAGAAAACAAATGATTAATTTCACCACAATTTCTAAAACGTTACTGTTTTGCTATTGCCTTAGTTCAAATTACAACCCAACGTCAAACACAATACGCTGCTGTCAACTAACTGTCAAAAGTGCGTCGGGAGTACCGATTTTGCTTGGACAATTTCAATTCCAATCCCAATTAGTTCACACAGTCACCACGCAATACTAAACTAATTTAGCGCTAGAGTCGCTTTCAAGAGTACCAAATGTCATAATTCCAATCCCGATCGATCGGAATTGTTTTCAAGAGTAAGCCAGCTATTCCGAGAGTGCGTGTGCGCCGAACCACGTGGCGAGCCCGCTGTATAGCAGACACTCCAGGAGAAAGGCGAGGCAGCCCTCATCAGGTCAGTGCGTGCTATCCCACCTATTTATTTATTTAAAAATTACAGTCCACTAAATATTTAACGAAGATACCTTAAGTTACTGGCGTCTCCAGTAGGTATAATAATGATCGTCTGCTTACGTAAAGCGGAGACAGTAACCAGAGATCATTACGCATCATTTATTAAAAAAATTACGCGAAGTACTAAAAAAACGTCAAACAAACGTCAAGCAAAATTGCAAGCTAAGGTGCTTTTTTATCACGATAATGCCCCCGCCCACCGACCTGGTGTTGCAGGCGCTGCCATCCGAGCTGCAGGGTTTCAGTTACAGCAGCAGCACGCATCATGTTCTCCGAACGTAGCTCCGTATGTATTTGTATATTTACCTTTTACTTACCTGAAAAGCACTTAAGTAAGTAAAAGTAAGTTACAGCCTATATACGTCCCACTGCTGGGCGCAGGTTTCCTCTCATTTCTGAGAGGGTTTTAGAGGAGGAGTAATCTACTCCGCCGCACTGCCCCAATGCGTGTTAACGAACTTCACATGTCTTCGAAAATTTTTTTTTCTTATTTCTTAGACAGGTTTCCTCACGATGTTTTCCTTCACCGCCGAAGACATGGTAAATCAGCACTTAAAATTGCAATTAACAATTTTATAGGTGCCGGCGGGGATCAAACCCGGTTTGCTCGAGTAATGTGAAACTTACAGCGAGCGCTAACCATCTGAGCTACCACGGCTCAAAAGCACTGAAAAGCACTTACGTGGTATGAAATTCTATGGCAACGATGTGGTGATGATGTGCGCTGTGTAGAGGCCTTTTTCGAACCCCAGAGTCAAACTTTTTTCCAAGGTAATTAACCAATTTGCAAAACGCTGATAAAGGTGTCATTTCTTAAAAGGCAATTACGTTGAAAAATAAATACAATTTATATATACTCATGTTAGAATTTCATTGTGTTTCCAAAACTTATTGATCAACTTTGTAAAGCTTCAACATGGCTCTATCACTAAACCACTTAAAGTAAAAGGTTTCGCAAGACCATCGGCACGTGGACTTTCAAGCAGATGCTGTATGTACCTAACTGAGATCATCCGTACGATCTATATCGAGTAGAATCTTTTTCATCTTTTGATAGAGAAGAGTTAATGAAATGTAAGACAAGACTGATATATCATAAAGCTTAATACACATAATATGGCGAACATTAGCAAGAAAGCTGATGAAAACATCGGCTTTATACGTAACGTTAGCTGCGAACCAGTTCAATTACCTTAAGGTGGCCAAAGGTTTGTACGACGCATATTTGCACTGCTGTGTTCCGATCTGATACGTATAGAAAGTCAGTTATTACAGGCTGTGGGGCGTTTCATGTAAGTACTCCAAGGTGACAACGCATCTAGAGCCTTCTTAGTTGCAAGTGCCCCTTACCATCAGCTAGACTGAAAGTTCGATTGTCACCTCCGTTTAAAAATCCTTATAAGCATTACTAACACCTACTCTTGTTAACCACCCTAAGGCACGAAACGCTTGTGTTAAGAGTGGTCCATGATAATAGTTAAATAGAGGATTTCAACCAACGACTGAGTTTACTGTTCGCACTCTACTATTAGGCTACTACCGCTTGCAATTATAAGTCTACTACTATATACCTTAACCTGATCGCCTGGTTACTTGTGTCAGGTTTGTTCTATATGAAATTGATTCTGAAAGAAATTTTTCTTGGTTGTGCATGGTCCATAAAAGTCGAGAATCGGGCAGTTCTGGAGCTAGTGCCATAGGTTTCTATTTCGTTCACCTGTTACACCCTATTTTTTCCAGACGGTAAAAAAATCATTACACAGTACACTTTAACCCAAAGAAGTCTAAACACTATTTAATCCCCATTATTAATTGCGTTATACTCTTTCTTTATTTATGAACAAATTTGACATTTTAAAATTATGTAGTTAATATGTTCAATTTCTATAACATTACTTTCATTGTTCTACATATCTATACTATCATATCATAATGTAATGATGACGGAAGAACAATTAAGTAACCTTGAGGCAAAGTATCTACGTCCTGCATATTATCCAATACTGTTGTAGAAGCTTATATATTGTACCATGAAGGATTTTGTTACTGACTCTTTGAAGTGTGCTTGATCCTAGTGTTTACAGAGTGTATATCACCTTTTCATTATAACTCCTTTTTTGTGAAAATAAATCAAATTTTTGTAAATATACTTTATACGTGGGAGAGTAACGGTGCAGCTAAATTATGGTTCTAGTGTGAATGGGTCAGCTCGACCGGGGTAGGGCCAGTGTCAAATAGCAGCTTAATGCTGCTGTGTTTCGTATGGTGAGCGTAGAGAACTGGAGACCCTTTTTATTGGAAACGAGGCATTCCATCCAGGATATGTGTAGATGTTTATGGGCCATAGCATCCACTTACCATCAGGTGAACTGTGTGCTTGTTTGTCAAACATATTCTATAAAAAATACTGAAAGGCTAAGTAAATATACTTGTTTCTTTAAATTTTTATCTAAGAGACTCCTGTGGCGTGAGATTATAAATTGCTCTTGTGGCTCTCTTATGTAAAACAAAGATAGATTATATTAATATATCACATTACCCATACTAATATTCCTAATGTCATTATGCTGCGGAAATAACTAAATTAAACTAATCTAGCTGATTCAACACATGTAAGACCTTTAATTTTTTTACAGCATATGCTGCAGAACTAAGTTTGGTCGATAGTTTTAATATATGAGGATTGAGGACCCCATTGAAGATTCACGTCAACAGTAATTCTGAGAAAAACAGTTCAACATTCAACGAGACAGTTCCTCCCCATTTAAAAGCAAATTATTTTTTTCCAATGTTCACGCGCAGAACGCCACTACTGTTTGATAGTATCAGGCACTGGGTCATCCCAGTCGACCTTCGATAGCAATAATCTTTGAATTATAATTTTAGGTTTTATAGTGAGTGGACTAAGAAGACCCAGATACCTTACATGGATCGGAAAGAATTGATTGATCTTTTAATTGGATTTTCATTTTGAATTTTATAGTAAGTGGGGAAATTAATAAAATCTTCGTTAGGATTCCAACCGACACCTAACACCTACGCCAGCACATAAAAGGAAATCCAGCGTCTACGCGAACGGAAGGTAAGTTTCCCATTTTAGGGGTTACAGGTTTAGTAGTAAATCTTCGACATCTGACACACTGATGATAGCCAGAACGAGTGAAATCTCTGCCAGCGACGAGCCACACAGCGCGATGGACGGACGACAGCTGCAGCAGGGCGCGGCATGCAGCAGGCGCAGGAGCTCGCGCTCGAACAACAGCCGAGTGAAGCGATGCTTGCCGTGGACTAAGATAAGATGTCGTTTTTCGAAAGAGTGGGAGGATTCAACGAGGCGACCCCCCACACGGATTAAACCATCGCGTAGAAACGGGCTTAAAGGTAGAATCCTATTTTTAGAGTGTAACGGCTTATTATTTTGTAATAATTTTAATTCGCCAGGAAAAGATTCACGCTGAGAGAGATATGCTAGTTTTTCAAATGATCGATTAAGTTCCTCTGGCTGCAGCACATCGGCAAGTTTAATTTTATTTCTACAACAGGTTATGAGAAATAAGACATAAGCGACGCTTTGGTGTTGTAAATTTAATATTTAGTTTTATTGTCGCAAATTGTTAACGTTAAACCAATTGTTGTGCTATTTTTCATACAGCACAACGTTATATTTTGATTATAATTGCCGTTTTAGTCGAAAAATTAACGAAGTTACACGAGTAACTAAAACTAGCATGGTTAGCAATTTTCTTCCAAGTAAATCATTAATATAAACTAAGAACAGAACGTGACTAAGAATTGAGCCCTGAGAAATCACCCATAGATACTATCGACCCTGAAGAACTACTCCCATTATTAACAACCGTTTGCGTTTTGTTATTTAAATATGATGGAAAGATCACAAAATATTTTCCAAGCATCTTTAGAGTTCTCTTATGTTCAGAAAACTTGTTTAATCAAATCTTTGTTTTAGGGTACGACCTAGGAATAGTGAGTTTCATACAATAAAAGAACATATGCTAATGTACAATGTATTTTTATACATTGGTAAAGTGAAGGCGGAGACTAGTAACGTAGGCAGTGGTCGTGATGCATGGCGTGGTGCAGCGGTGCGGCGTTCTCTTTGTCGCGCGCGAAGTGCGGCGTGGCGTGCGCGGCGTGCGCGGCGTGCGTCGAGTGCGGGATGTGGCTCGCGTGCGCGGCGTGTGCGGCGTGTGCGGCGTGCTGCGCGTGCGTGACGGCGGGCGTGGCGTGCTGCTGCTGCTGCTGCGCCGCGTACTCCGGCGGCAATGGAGGCGGCTCGTACTCGTCGCCCGACCCGTCCGATGCCTCCAGGTAGCCGAAAAGTCGCGCGGCTCCGGCGGCACGCTGCTCGCGACGCCGCACGCCGGCGGGCTGTGACGTCACGCCGCCGCTCGCCGCCGCCGCCGCCGCCGCCGCCACTTGCCCGCCGCCCGCAGGTACTACAGCCGGCGCCGCCGCTGCTCCGGACGAGAAACCTCCTCCTCCTCCCGTGCGCCCCACGCCCGAAGGCACTTTCAAGTTTCGACTTTCGATGTGGCTGTAATGTTTGGAATTCGGACTAACATATGATATATTGTAGTGTGTACTTATATATATGTACGATAGAATAGGAGAGAGAGTTAGTAATAAACCTACAGTCAAGACCACTAGACGTATTATTATTTATTCCCCGAATCTCCCCCACATTACATGGCGACCCTGCCAGGCGGTGCGCTGCTACAATGCAAGCGCACCGCCGGGACCTGCATAAGAAATAGAGTAATTTATTGAAGAAAATAAATTAATCAAAATGAATATATGAAAATAATGTAATAATAAAATGAACATAATACCGGACGTAACAAATAATTTTTTAAATACGAATATAAGAAGAGACTACAATTTTTTTTTTTGAGAACTCGAAGTCGATTATACACTTAAAGAAAAAATGTTACAGAAAAAATGAAGAAAATACCTGAAAAACAAATTATACAAGAAGCTCCAGTAACATTGTTTTAACAGCATAATCAATATTGACAAGTTCCAAGAAAGAAGATTCCAAGAACAGAAAACTTCTTAATCAAAATTCCTTCAAGAGAAGAATAAAGAACTTAAGAAAAAAGAAGCGTACGAGGAAGTCCAGGCCCAACCACATCGGGGAGCTAACAATATCTTCGTTACCGTCGTCGTACCAGAGTAGCAGAAAAAGTCAGGGGTACAACGAGCGACCAGCCAAGTTCTGTAGCAGGTACAAGACATCTCGAAACCACCGAATGTAAGTTTAATTATATAATAATGGTGCCGATGTCTATTATCAAATTATATTATTACTTACATAATGTTATACACAGAACTGGGGAAAGAAAAATTTTAAATCATTCATTAAAAAAATAGGAAAAACATTAATACTATTAATAGAAAAATTCAAAATTATGTATTATATCGCAACAATTAATCGGTAAATAACTACTTAATGATGATAATAATAATATTTGTTTTGCAACAATATGGTTGTGCAATGGTGTTTAAGTATAATTTAGTTCTACATATTCTACCATAGTAATGTGTAAATTTTAATGGACAAGTAACTATAACAATATTTATCGAAATTTTGACAACATACATATAATTATTCAATATTTTTTTAATTGATATGGTAACTTTCTAATTAATTATGTAACAGCTTTAGAGGAAATACCAACGTTAGTTTATTATTATAGTTCAATGTCATATACTTGGTGTAATCATTAATTTGTCAATCATTATATATAATAAATTGCAAATGTTACAACCAATTATCATTAATTAGTTTCTGTGTTTATGTCAAATTATCTCAATCTTATCTCAAATTTTATATGACGTTATATTCAAAAAAAATTGACTTGTAATTCAAAAAAAAATATTATTTGTTACTAAGTAGATCGTTATCGTATAAGAGTTCTACTTATAAGGAATAATAATCATAACATATACATGTACATAATACAGCATATCCTTAGTAGGGTACACATCGTAATTAAAACGGATAGGAAAAGTGACTAGAAAAATGATATTCTATCATAAAGTATGTACGTCGCCGGCCTAAGAGAGATTTAATAGTAATGTTTCTTAACTGAGTTAAACGTTGACTGAAAAATAAATCCATTTTATACAAAAATTAGCAAAGATGTATTTAAAAGGTGTGAGGAATGAAAGAAAGAAATGCAAGTGGAATACGAATGATTGAGTGGTTAAGTTTCGTCAATATTGGACTGATCACCCAAATATTTGATGATGCTTAAACTAATAGTATTGAATCCGTTAAGAGTGAGAATTATGAAAGGAATAAATATAAAAGAAAATAATTGACCTTAATAAATAGGTAATGGAGAGATACGGGAACGTCTATCACTGGTATAACATATAGTCCTCGAGCAGGGTATGTTTCCGTGATTGGATGATAAAATCGGGCGTAACGGGTACTAGGGAACAATACTTTCAGTACAAGTGATTCATATTAGTACTGTTAGGGACCAGAAAAGTCTTAAATTTGTTACCCTTAATAATGGTGCATGGAGGTCATATCCTTCATTGAATCACAGTGTGAACTTAGTTTTCCCCCGTGACAATTGTTGAAGTCCTTTTAATGACTTAAACGTAGACCTCAAGGTTGTGCGCACAACCCAAGGTACATATTACCTTGATATAGAAAAAAAGTTTATGTAGCAATAAAATGAAATGAATGTTACGAAAATGTAATATGATACCCAAATATATGGGGGGCCCATATTAATAAAGTACCCGCGTGATAAATATCACGAAATAAAATATAAATGAAATGAATTAATACTCCGATTCCCGGTATCTAATAAATAAATAAATATATAAGTGAATAGAGAGAAAGAGAGCCAGCTAAAGGTCAAAAATATTAAGAAGAAAGAAAAGAAAGTAAAAGAGCAAATCAAAAAGTGTGTAGTTTTCATTTCTGTATTAGGACTATTAATGCTACCCAAAATGCGACTAATGAGTTACACATGTAATAACTATAGGGATCGATTTACACAACTACGCGATAATGTGTTGTGTGTGTGTGTGTATGTATTCTGCGCGTCATTATTTAACCACATTTGCATATGAATTTACGAGATTTTTTTCAGATTTAGACACATTAATTCATATTTATAATACATCTGGTTGATTTTTTTGTCATATGTTTTTTATGTAAAACTCGTACATTTTAAACTATATTTGGTTTATATTTTGCTTATAAAATAAAGTCCAGAGTCTATCGATACACTATTATTATAAATTTATTAATGTAATAGTATTCTTTTTACGTTTTTTCTTTAGAAAAGACAACGGAACCTAAACTTATGTTACCCGTTTAAAATAAAAATGCCTTTTTCAATGTTAATAAATATTTCCTAAAACAAACTTGAGCTGTGTACCTAGTAGTGTTTTCTTTTTTATATAAATTTCATGTCATGAAAAAATGAGTTTTCGAAATTATAAATAACTTAATTAATGATTTTTTGTTAATGTACGTACCTATGTAAAAGTATAATACTTTTATAAAATTAATTTAAAATTGAATTTAAAAATCTATATTTAGAGGTACAAACTGGGAAAGTTAAATTCATTTTATTTACAATATCATTTTAATGCATGGTTAACACTACGTACCATTATACAACGTAATCGAAAAAAAACGTTCCCATGAACATACTTAGAAATTAAAACAAAGGTGTCACAAACCGCTTACGCGGCTGAGATTGTAAGTTGTATTTGATCCCTGTAATGATTATGATTATGTTGCACTAGGACCGCCGTGAGACAAAACCTGTAATATTAAACGACTATCATTTTTGCCAACTAACGGTCTATATATAATGCAAAGAAAAGATTCTTTTGACCAGAGTTAGATACTACATACATAATTAGTAACATCCTACTAATTATGCAAATCAATGTGTCAAGTGTTGCGACATATACAATTAATAAAAATATAAATGCCAATGGTTATAACCGATTTATAGGATATTCCACTTTTCATAGAGGTTTATTTAGATTTAGTAGGGCCCTAATGTAAGAATAGTTTTAATAATGTTTATAAACTCACACTACAGTGTGATTTAAATAAGTATGCTGAAGTTTATCCACTTAAAACTAAGGATACTATTTCAATGGCATTAGCTTCTTATAGATTTGTTAAAATTTAAAATGAATAATATAGTTTAAGTTTAAGAATATAAAAAAATTGTAAACACCTTATAATATTTTTGAAAACTATTTTGTTTTAAAAACTGTATTTTCAGTCTAGTGAATTAATAATTATATATAAAAATTTTAAAAGTTATGCAGTAATGATAGGCGAACTAAAATTATTTTACAACAAAAACTTAAAGAATCAATACAATTACGTAAGGAATTTGATGATTGTTTAAAAAATTTAAATACAGAGATAGAAAGTTATTTTTTTTTTAAATTACGGTGTTTAAGATATTTTATTTTAATATTATGTTATAAATATGATATAGTAGGTGTAAGAATTTTAATATTTTAAAATAATGTACAATTTTTTTGATGTTTTACACCAAGTTTTAATTCATTGAAAAAAAAAAATTTGTAATCCTTTTTTTTTCTTTATGCCGATGGGCGTGTAGTGTGTACTTATATATATGTACGATAGATTAGGAGAGAGAGTTAGTAATAAACCTACAGTCAAGACCACTAGACGTATTATTATTTATTCTCCAAATCTCCCCCACATTACAGTATTATTTTAAATTAAATTACTTCATATAAAACAGGAGACTTTAATGTCTGGGTAGTTCATACATATTTATATGTTTATAAAGATAATTAATAGAATCAGGCGTTACTTTGCGGAAATCCATTTTAGTAAAGATATTAATAGTTACTTTGCAACTATCCGCTCAATAAAATATATTATGCGTCTTAGCTAATTAGAAGAGCACCTCCCGCCCTCCCTCAACTGCGTGCACTAATCCCGTCACCGACATTCCAGTACCAAGTGCAGGAGCACAGGTGTTGGGAGTAGTGGTGCTGGGATTAGTGGTGACGGGATTAGTGCACGCAATTGTGTGAGTGAAGGCACAGAATTGAGGAAGATTTACTGGAGAAAAAAAGAAGAAATATTGGCTAGAATGGGTTATCGTTTAAGTGGATACTGTAGTAGGTACCTAACCATGAAAGGAGCGGAAACAGAGTGAATATTAACGTCATTGCAAGACACAGTAAAAGCGCAATCCAGAGAAGGCTTCATCTCGCCTACACTGATTAAACTTGGGAAACTTCCAGTTTCTATTATATATAATATACCTTCAGATCTGGCCAATTCTCTTTTTAAAACGCTGAAAGCTATTATTAAAATTTAAATACCTAAATTTAAACAGTGCTGTGTAAATTTAAATTATGACTGTAGTGCAAATAGGTTGACACGACCGGGGAAGGAACCACGCACGAACGGAATCACAACGTGAAATAGCACCATATTTGTGCTGTTTCGTATGGCATGTAACGAGAACCGCAACATTTTCACCGGTAGCAAGGTATTCCGCTTTATTTTTGACGGATTTCATCACTTTTATATAATGTAAAATATAAGATAAAACGCTTAAATCTACTACTAAACACAATAGAAAAGGCTCGCAGATTTAGTTATATTTAGTATTTCGGTATGTTATGGTATTTAATAAGGTAGAAGTAACAAAATCTACCTAAAAAATAAGAGGCGCGTGCAGATTTAAATTCTCTTTTTATCTTACATATGTATATCTAAACTTGACTTCTCAGATATAGAGTAATAAAAAATAAGATATGGATACAGAGTAAACAGATATAGAACAATAAGAAAACTAAGTAGCAAAAAAAAGCAACATAGGTGCACAGATTATTTCAGAATGCTTATGACAGAAGAATCAATGTAATAAAAAAAGGAGATCGAGTAGAGTACCTAAACAATATACCGTTTTTAATTTTGATACCTATACTAAGAAACGAACATTTTTTTAAACTTGTTAGGTCTAAATGTGTTCACATTTAAGCTCAACTTATTGTATACATGGCTGTATGAGGACGCTCAAGGTCGTTCAGCGAGCTATGGAGAGGGCTATGCTAGGAGTTTCTCAGCGACTAGAGAGACTAGACTCAGAAATGAAGATATCCGCAGTAAAATCAGATTAATAAGCTGAAGTGGCAATGGGCCGGCCATATAGCTCGAAGAACCGATAATCGATGGGGCATAAAGGTTATCGAGTGGCAGCCTCGTATCGGTAGGTGTAGTGTAGGGCGAACCCCCATTAGATGGAGTGACGACATGGTAAGAAATGCACGAAGTCGATGGATGCAGGTGGCTCAGGACCGTGCTTTGTGGCATTACTTGGGGGAGGCCTATGTTCAGCAGTGGACTTGTGAAGGGCTGTAATGATGATGATGATGATATTGTATACATAAACATAATATAAACAAAAGTAAATTCTGGGATTGTTGATTTGGTAAAAATTAGTTATAGGTTTAGAGTATGGAATAAATTATTTAAATGAACTAGATGTATCCTTGAATATTATCCTGGATGCTTTAACGGTACTCAGATTTTTGGTAGACTCAATAAGTTGTGAATAGTTAGTCTACGATATATACTTAGTAAAATTAACATTTGTTGATTGTAAAGTTAAGTTTAGATTTTAAAGTTTTTATCGTACTATATAACCATGCTGCACGTATGTTATGGTGGCAGCACGATTGGGTGGGTCGACCGGGTAAGGCCACTCTCACAAAGTACTAGCGCAAATAGCAGCTAAATGCTGCTGTGTTTAGTATGGTGAGTGTAGAGAACCGGGAACCCCATTCACTGGAAACGGGGCATTCCATCTTAGTCCTCAGGATGACGCTTCTGCGTTTTGATTCGTAATCGAGGATAGTTGTAGATGTCTATGGGCCGCTGCATCCACTTACCATCAGGTGGACCGTGTGCTCGCTTGTCACTTATTCTAAAAGAAAAGAAGTATTCATAGCGTACTAACTGTGCATCGCGCAGGTGCAGCGCGAGTTGGTGTTGGTCGTCAGCAAGGAAGGGGCACTTGGCGCAGGCCTTCTTATTGTGCACTTTGTGCACGTGCGTGGCGAGTCGCTCGGCGCGCGCGGCCTTGTACTCGCACAGAGCGCATGCGAACGGCTTCAAGTGCGTGTTGAGGTGCCGCTTCAAGCACCAATTGTCCACACCCGACCACGCGCAGTAGCAGCAGGCGTAGCGTCGCTCACCCTGCGGTGTTTTTTTATTAAATTCTGTCGGTCAATCGAAGCAGCAGTGCCAAGTTTTAAATATTATGAAAGCAAAGTGAAGTAAGCATACCTACATCTTTAAGATGACAACGTTCGAACCTCGACAACTTCACATGAACAATAGTGCCCTCCAAGTCATTTTTCGGTCAAGGCGGCCAGTTTTAACGGACACTAGCCATCTGAGCAGGACAGGATCATAGTGCCCAAGTGTATGCGCTAGGCAAAAGTGGATTCTATTTCTTTACGCTCACAGTCCGCTGGGACAATAATCTGACACGTCAGGTGGGAGATCAGGCGCAGGACCTACGGCTTTACGTGCTTTCCGATTAAGGTGGTGAATACACAGCCAACTTCCTGACTCCGGGCTGAGACAACAGACATAAAAATAGAAAAACCCAATACAGTACCACTAACAATACACATTTTAGTTCAGCCCGTAACCAGATGATCAGCCATCGCGCTTTCGATCACTGGACCAACAAGGCTCACATATACACCGCGAATGTCATAAGGGGCACATTAAGGTGACAACTGCCTCACCTTGCGACGTACCGGGGAGGATGTGGAAGGCTTGTGCTGCGTGGCGGGCGAGCCCACTGACTCGGTCTTGGCGAGCGGCGAGCGTTCCAGCTTGATGGGCGGCGCGCGGCACTCCAGCGCAGCTGCCGCTGGCGCCGCTAGCAGCGCGCCCGCCGCATCGCTCGCCTTCGCGCAGAACAGCGCGGCCGCCCCGCCCGCAGCCACGCTCACCGCACCAGCCCCGCTCGGCCCCACCGCTCCCACCGGCCCCACCGCCCCACCCGCGTTCGTGGCCGGCTTGCCTCCACTCGACCGTCTGATACGATTAAGATCGTACGGTTGGTCTCGGTGCATCCGCAAGAAATGTTTCTTTACGTGGTCGGCACGGTTGAATTGTTTCTGGCATAGATAGCAATGGAACGGCTTCTCATCTCGGTGAATATTCTCGTGACGGGTGAAGAGGTCGCGTCGATCGGTTGCGTACGGGCATGCTGTGCAAGCGTATCGCTTGCCGGCCTCGCCTCCCACTACGTTGGATTCAGCGGCAGTAGCGTCGACCGCCTGATTCGGCGTCCCGCTACTTGTGTTGGATGTTCCCGTCCGTCGCTCCGTACGAGCCGCCTCCACCTACGATTAGTAGGACATATAACATCGGTAGAATGTAAGCAGTTGAATAAGCTGCTACTGTGAAGTGAGTGGATAAAGAGACTGTACCTTGCTCTTGAGCCTTTGGAGATACCGAGTGAGATCATCAAGTGCGGGATTATCTCGCAACAAATGGTCGGCTGCGGCGGGGTCCGAGTGATGATCCCGAGCGAGATGTTGGCGTACGGCGCGCGCCCAGCCGCTCGCGAACCCGCAGCCGGCCAGCGGGCACTGGAAGGCTCGCGCTTGCGAGTGTGTGCCGAGCCAGTGCTCAGCGACCCGCGCGAGGAAGCCCACGCATTCGCAGTCAGTGCACTTGAACAGCCTCTGCGCCGGATTGTAAGCGGCCACGCGAGAGTGCGCCCACGCAAGAGGCTCCTCCGCTGCCGTCCAGCGATCTTCCGCAGAAGGGTCTGTGCGTGGCGTAAAATTCGCCTGCGCAATCAAAATTTTCAATCTTAATATCTTCATTGTGCAAACACATTCTCAATAGTGATCTCGTAATAAATATATGTTGGTAATCGTTAGTACCTCGTAGCTTACAACAGAACGAGGGCTCATTCTGAATGAATATCTAATATTTGAACCATGATGTTCTAGTAATTTTAGATGGTAGTAACATGTTGTGCATAAAATAACATTTAAAAGAAAGTTGTTAAAAGTTATTAGCTCCACATACCTGTAGTATGCCGGGCGGCGGAAAGCCATTCTGCATAAGGGCAGCAAGTCCCCACGCAGTGATGTGTTCCTCGGGGCGCAGGTCGTCATCTTGCAGGTCACGATCTGCAGCCGGGAACTCCACGCCCACCACACTACCGACATTCACCCCGACGCTCACACCCACAGTGGCTTCCTCGCCGTACAGTTTCTTAGTTATCTCTTTGAACATGTCCTCGCAGTCCATGGTGAGGGAGGCAACGCTGGCGACTCCGCCACCGCCTTCCATTGTATATCTTTACTAACAAGGCTTTTACCCCACCCTGTAAAGAAAAATATACAATTAAATGAAAGCACCGCCTTAAAAAAACATAAAAAAATGAAGGACGTCGAAAATACCTCGTTGGATTTTAGTTCAAGCGAAAAATTACCTAATGTTTTGAAGGGTAGGAACGACAAACATGAATAATGGGGCGTGAATATCGACAAAATCATATTTTGCGAAAAAAAAACAATTTACGTATGGGACAGTACGGTCAAGCGTGATCCAATTATGATGAGATAATCGGTGCTTATAGATAAGGTGAGTAGCATAGGGGTGATGGTGTCGCATGCGGTGGGGTCGCGTTTGGTGGTACGCTGCGGGCGCACGGGAGCAGCTCGGGCGAGGGTGCGATCCAACGAGATACGACGTTCGAGAGCGGGCTGGCGCGGGCCCCTTCCCACCCCGTGCACCGCCCGCTGCAGGCTGCAGGCGCACCTGCTCGGCGCCGCCGGCGGCCGCCTACTACTGGGTGCGCGGCGGTGGCGGTCGATACTGCGGGGGCGGCGCCACCCCGCCACCCCGCACCGCCCGCACCACCCCGCACCGCCCCGCACCACCCCGTACAGCACTCCCATCGATCTGCGACCACTTCGTACTTCGCTTCTGCGTTCTTTACACCTGACTCCTTTAACTTCATCCTTACCTTAAAACTCTATTCTTTGGTAATTATGATAGAAAATGAAATAATATTTTAAAATGAATCTAGTTCGTACTGAATTTAGTATATGTTGAACTTTATACAGTATTTTCATGACTGTCACCGCAACGGGTGGTGAGGCGCAGCTCCCGGAAGGTGGCCGGCACAACCTCGACGATCTCCCGCGACCTCCAAAGCACCCCCTGTTATTCACAAAGTCGTAGTTGTTGCATAAACCACATACACATTCATTAACAAGAAATATCAAATGCAGTTAGATAATTTGACCAAACGTGATCATTCATGTATATTCATATATTATGTAATATGGTGTTGCGGTTGATCATGGGCGGCGGTAGTCACTTAACATCAGGTGAGCCGCATGCTCGTTTGCCCCCTCTTCTATAAAAAAATTTACCTTTAGTTACATATCTATTTTAATTAGGGTTGGCAACTGTTTATTTAAACCCCGTGACAAGCCACGGCATCGTCTGGGTGGGGTCTGTAAATGTGGTAGTATTTAGATTTAAGATAATCACCAAAGACCATTCATTTTTATAATTTTTTTGTAAAAAAAAAAAAACTATTTTTGCAGTCACAATATAGCAAGCCTATATCACTCCGGTCGCTGCGCTCTCGTGCATTGCCATCGGTTCAGCCACTCCGAAGACTAACAACAGACATACAAACATGCATGTAACCCCAGCTTCCATTTTATTTATATGTACGGATAAAGCATTTTCGAACCTATTATGCTGCGGCTACACTAACGAGCAACGTCAATACCCATAAACGCAACAATTATTGCCTTAAAAACGCGATAAAATGAGTGGCTACACTTGAACGGTCAACGTCGTTTCCCGTTGAACGGCATTAAATTTGCCGTTGAACGGCGTTAAATTTGCCGTTGAACGGCGTAAAATGTAAAGTAAAAAATAAACAAAGAAAAAGAAGATGGTGGATGCTAAAAATGCACGGGAAACGTATACTGTAAATCTATTTATGTTTTATTTTTTTCCCGCACCCAAATTGCACTAGAAAGATGTCCAATGGTTTAAGCTAAATAATAAGACAAACGTAAATATATTTTAATGAAATAATAACTAATAAGCCAATCATAAATACTGGTCAAGTGCGAATTAGATACACGTACCCAGGGTTTCGTATTATATCTATGGTTTCGTACCACTGTACACTATGAATTTTGACCTGCAAAAATTGTTTCTTTTTCTCCTGCTTATTTTTCTTGGTTTCATACCGTAAATTAAAGTATACTTTTGAAGTATTTTCTTTAATTCAATCTCGAAAAGCTTTTTCATTACTCCACTCCATCGCAGCCATACGTGCAACCCCGTGGCACTCACCGTGCACAATGAGACAAACGTAGTGTGGCCGCTTCAACGCGATAATTCGCGCGTTAATCCTTTGATGTACCGCCACTCGAGTTATCGGCAAACGGGAAACGGCATTGTTAATGCCGTTGTCAAATTATCGCGATAATTCGTGGCCACACCTAGATTCAACGTCCATCAACGCGATAATTAACGGCATTTCTCCTTAGTGTGGCCGGGCCATTACCCGTAAAAATATAGTTGATGACGAAATAACAACAAACATACAGTAAGTATACCTATCTGGTAAGACCTGGTAAGACATGTGGGATGTCGATGGATGCGAGCGGCACAGGGCCTTGCTTTGTGACATTCATTGCTGTAAGTGTGTACAGACCTCCACGTGCTACTCACAACAATTGACGTTGCTCAACCACTGACGTTGGAGCTGAGCTTTTCAAACATAATTTTTGTTCCTGGGACCTTTCCGAGGTCTTCGACAGCGTTCGTCATGAGACATTTATTATTGTGGTAATTATGCTAGTGATTACGGAAACTAAAGCACTATAGTGTCAACTTATTACTTTGTACTTAATTACCTACACACCGTACACCCGCATACCTGGGCGTTTCTCACCGTCCTGAACATCGATTGACACGAGCTATGCAGTCGGTGACGGAGTATGCACTCCCTCACTCGGACAGAGGTTAGGTAGCTAAAAAATCCTACACAGGGGTCCTGATGATTGGTAACAAACCAAATCATAAACCATCATCATTACTATCGTCATTAACAACGTGTTACGTTTTTTATAGAGCTCGCGGTCTATAAAGAATTGATTGATGTGAACCTAATACAAGTGGAATAGGGACGATTTAATGTTCTAAACCTTTTGAGCCCTTTATTCGTGAACGGGGTTCTTTAGCTTAAAATACCTTACTATAGGACCCACCGACAGCTTTCGATTGCCCTGTTGTATATTAATTTTTCCAAGAGCCACCTATATGAAACGAGTTACCAAAAAACACAAGGTAAATAAGACGATCACGCCATAAGTATAATAAACGGCCTTATAACATTGAAATATCCTTGGGAAAGACCAATATTTTACTAGCCTGGACACATATATTATAATTCACATTATTTTTATCACATCGGACCGCCATTATATACAATAGTTGGGGGGGGGGGGAGTGTTACAATATGTATTAACAGATTTTACTTACAACAGGTCATTTCAGCATGCACTGTTATAAAATATGTGTATAGATACTATTGGTTACGACTAGAGATGCGCCGAGTAGCACTTTTGCCGAGTAGCGAGTACCGAGTTTTACTCGGTTCAATTTTTTTTCCAACCAAGTATTCGGCCTTGTAACTCGGTTCAATCAAATTCCTGTTTCGGGCGCGTAAACAAGTGCAAAAAATAGAGCTCTAAATGCCCCATTGCTTTAGGATTAGATCGCTATTTAAAAGAAAATTTGTTGGCAAAAAGCAAGAGTCCTTTCGATTGGTGGGCAGGGCACCAAACAAGGTATTTGGAGCTGGCACGTTCAGCACGAGTGTTTCTGTGTGTATAGCGAGCGATTGTTTTCGGAAGCTGGTAACGGAAAAGGAATAGGCTGTTTGCAAAACGTGCAGAGCCTGGTGTTCCTGCAGCATACATTACCTTATTAAAGTTAAAATATTGATTTATTTCATTAAGCTTTTCCTAACGTTTTGCTGGAGATCCGTTTTACTGGAATCGAGGCATTCCATCTTAGTCCTCAAGGGTGACGAGGTATCTGCATTTTGATTCTTAATCGAGGTTAAATGTAGATGTCTATGGGCCACAGCATCAGTTATTGTGATTGTCAAAGATTTCCCAAACTAATAATAAATACTTTTTGATTAACACTGTTGTTTTAATTATATTGATCTAGAAAAATATATTGCTTTACTTAAACCAAGTATACTCGGCATTAAAACCGAGTTATTCGGCTGAGTACAATTATTAAAAAACCCGCCGAGTACGCCGAGTAGCGAGTATTAACCGAATAGGTACTCGGCCCATCTCTAGTTATTACAGTTACTATATATTAGGTAACTGCTAAAAAGTTGAATTACTGTTCCAATTTTAGATTTTTTTACGTGTACGGGAACTTTATAAAAAGTGATTTAAAACATTGGGTAACTTATTAAACTTTATATAATATACTCTGCACCTTATACCTAATATGCTAAATACGGTGTCAACCACTAGTGTAGCAGCTGCTGATATCGTTCGGCTGTGAGTGCAGCGTGTGTTCCCGCTATGCAGCAAGTCTTGCTCTCCTTGAGGTTAAAGTACGGGCTAATTATTTTGCAATTTTATCCCCGGACCAGGAACCTTTCTCTCTCCGGTTGTGTTCTTCAATCGTTGTTCTTCAATGATTGTGTTGGCGCGGATAGTACAGCATCAACAAAGTGCGGGCTAGGCACCATTTAAATATGGATCTGTAAATTCATGAAGAAGTAGAATTATATTAAATATTGTTTACTTATTACATTCAAGAATGAGTATGAACGGCATTCAGCGGTGATCCCGTCGGCCCGCGGCTTCTCCCGAGAGCACGCCGCGCGCGCCGCGCCTTTAGATCGCTACTCGCTAGGTATTGAATTCTAAGAAGGTATTTTATTTATTTAAAAAGAAATATCAGTAACGCTATAAACATTACTTATGTTCCTGTTAACTACTCTAAGTAAATTTACAGTGGTTCATGACGGTAGGTGAGTGGCAGATTTGAACCTACCACTCTTGAATTTGCGGTCCGCACCCTTGATCATTCGGCCTTAGAATTGAATTACTTATTTGTGTTTAATTATTTTTATAAACTTCGTTTTTGATTATTTCTTTCTTAAAATCTGTAAATTAAAAATAATACGTTTTAAGTTTTCTAAATAAAATTTTGTTATTTAGAAACAGAAACACCAAACAGATTAAATTCATTCTCTATATCAGTTTCGGTATTGTTTTCGATTGAACTAAACGTGGGTTACAAGATTAACACATACACACATACACACACACACGCACACGCACATCATGTTATTCTGCCGTGATGTCATACTTTTACTTTTACACGCGCCGCTTCATTAATTTCATTGTGCTCTAGTTGTGGCTACTTTTACGCGATATGATGTCTTCTTAACGAACATTCCTCGTAATTTTAGTTTAAATATCTCTTGTAAAAATAACCATTAACCTAAATTATCTAAAGTCGATACATCGCGCGTAATGTAGGTCATCTAAACTAAAGATTGATAAGAGTCGCTTTTTGTGCGTTTGCGTGGTCAATAACGGCCGACCGTTCTGTAAATAGTACGGTAATTTAGCAAAATTGCATTATAGGCATGCATTGACCGTAGGTACGTAGCGACCTCGCCTGTGGTGAGATGAAATAGCTGGAACGATGACGAAAGTAGCCCACTACTGTATCGACCGGGGCGCAGCGATGACGCGCCCGCCTAAAATCAATAGGCGGCCCCGCGGCGGCCACGAGGCGGCTCCGCGCCGGTTCATCGTCCGGGAGGCGCGCGCAGCGGCCGCGCCGGTCGATGCGTCAGTCGCGCCCCGGCCGCGGCGCTTCCTGCAGCCACCCGCCCGCCCGCCGCACGTCGCCGCCCGCCTATCGCTGCCGCCCATCGCCGCTGGTCGCCGCCATGCCACGGCCGCGCCGCCGCCAAGCCGGGCCGGCGCGCGAGCCACCCGCCGCCGCCTAGCTGCGGTCAGGTGAGCTCAGACGCCGGCGCGTGCACTTAGTACGCTATTCAATACGCACCGCGTGCGTTACCAGCGAGCGGCGAGCTGCGGGCGCCTCAATGGGCGCGCTATTAATACGCGCGCGCGACCCTCACCCACTACCCTCTAAACGCTGTTTATTTTCGCATCATCCGCGATTGCGTCGCTTCCGTGCTTCTTTCGCTGTGCGTTTTCACGCCGCGCTTCCGAAGCGCCCTCTACGTCGCTCCTGCGCGGTTTACACTTCGGCGATGCGACGGTCGCTCTAGCGCCTCGACGAATTCGATTCGCCTTGAAAACGTTGTGCTTTGATCGAATCGCTATAAAATATTAAACAGTTTTAGATAATTTGAGGTTCAACAGCCAGTGTGTGTTCAGTTGAGAATCTCCTTTAGATTTCGGTTAAAGATTTCTTTTTGTCGGATCTATATTGGCACTTCACGAAATGGATCCGAGTGTCCGGCGTCCCGTCCCCGACGACGCCTTATGCCATGATATAAGTGAACTTGTGAATCCCTAAAGTTACACAAAGTGTTGACTTCTGAGAAACTCGTCTATTACATTAAAATTTACTTGAAAATATTACTAATAGATGAAACGGCGATAGAGCCATATGATTTTGTTAATATTCAATATGTAGGAGACATGTTAAAGGTGGCAAATAACCTGTTTATGAAAGAGGTAACCCAGATTACACTACCTACTTACACTATTAATACATTAAGGCTTAACACTACGCAACGGCATCGTATATATATTTAAATTTAAATCAAAGAAATATGTACCTATATTGATAAATATGGACAGATGTTGCTAACACCATACATATACGTGAAACACCATAGAAGTGAGTCATTACAAGAACTAGGAACAGTAGACAAGTTTCAAAGATGCCAAATTAGCGGCATTATGATAATGCATCGTTGGCCTTCTTTGTTAGATATTCACAAGTATCCACAGGCTGCAGTGGCTTACCTTAAAGTGCATGACGGCTCGTTTATCACCCTAATATTACAAAAACAAACTACCAGTGAATCCGACGAACTTGTAACTGTCAATCTTACCAGATATGTTTACATCAGGTTTAATTTAAGAATAAAATCAGACTGACATAATTGTGGTACCAAATTTGGTTCAAGGACACGCTTTGTGACAATATCCGAGGAGGATGTTATAAAACACGTAATACGTCCATTACGTATGTTGTAACTTATAACATCCACGTTTTTCAAAAGTTTAAATGAAATTTGTATTCTTTTTCCATACTGAACATGAATCCTTCATTTATTGATGAATTTTTATGATATTTAGATAGGAAAATAACACCGCTGGGTAGTATCTTTTCCGTTTCTGCCAATGCGTCCATGTAGGCTAAAAAGAAACAAGCAACAACAAACGAGTTAAAAGAGGCTCCAGCAGCCCATGAACACCTTCAACCATTTTAAAACGAAGATAGCCATCTATTCGTTGTCAACCTTATGATATATGGCACCTAGGCTGTAGCTATTCTATGTTTATATACTCTTCAGATCGGAAAATTTAGCAGCAGTCGTACTTATGCTTGGTTGCAGAAATAGGTGGCAAGGCTCCTCTTCTTGTCTGGGAAGCGGGCACCTGGTGGCCGTCCCTGGTTGAAGTCAGTTGTGCGTGTCCATGAGCTGTAGTGGCCACTCACCATCAGGTGCGCTGTTGACTAGTTTATCGCTTTATAATTTTTTTAGAATATTTGGTACTTAAGATATAAGTTTTGCTTGCATTCTATCGTTACCGTTACCGTTAGAACCTAAGTCCATTACTAAACATAGGCCTCCCCCATAGGTCGCCTTATAGGTCGCCTTATAGTATATATAATGATGCATCTCATGTGGTGCGTTCCAGATGTGCAGCCTGGCTGCGCTGGCGCGTGGCTGCCGGCCAGCTGCCAAGCCCTGCTGCCTCTGCTGGTGTTGCTGCTGCTCTTGCTCTTGGTACGCAACCGTTGCATTTATTCTTGCTTGTCATAATATATTATGTGATTGCTTCAATGGTGGCATTTGTTACGTTTCTTCATCATCATCAAACAGCCTTCACAAGTCCACTGCTGAATATATGCCTCCCCCAAGGAACGCCACAAAACGCGGTTGTAAGCATCATCACCATCATCACCATTACCATCTGCACCCATCAACTTCTTGCATATTTTAACAGTTTATCATTCCATCTAGTATTGCTCTACCGGTCCGAGGCTGCCGCTCGAGAATCTTTCTTCCTCATCGGTTGTCGGTTTTTCGAGCTATATGGCTGGCTCTTTGCCACTCTCAGCTAACTAATCCGTTGTGCTTTGTCGGTTACGCAGGAAAACCTAAGCATAGCCCTATTTATAGCTTGCTGAACGGTCTGGAGCTTCCTCATACACCCGGCAGGTATTCCATTTTCTTCGTTCGATTATTATTCTTAAGTCTTACCGATTTAAGAGTTAAATTTTGTAAATAAAATAACAGAATGGTTCGGAAGCAATGATCCTAACATTTCATTGCGGTAATAGTATTTAAAGGAAGAGCGCAGGCAGGCGCACACAAGCAACAAATTTGTCAATATGAGTTACAATGCATTCCGTCTGTTCGACCGGACAAACCGCAGCCGCACACAACACTATTGTAAAATTTGTATATATAGTTGTAGCAATGCGACTGCTGATCATGAGGTCCTGGGTTCGAATCCCGGGTTGAGTTAAAAACATCAGTTATTGGGGTTTTCCATCAAGCAATTCTCAGTAGCTGCCCGGAGTTCGGCGGTGTCTCATCCCCGTGCCTTGGAAAGCATGTAAAGTTGGTGGTCCTGCGACAGATCTCTCTCCGGTCCTGTCGGTTTACCGTCCTATTAGACCATAAGACTAAGGGAATAGAGAGTGCACCTGTGCTTGCGCATACTTTTGAGCATTACTACTTTTGTCCTACATTATTATTATTGTTTGGGGTATCTACATATATAGTTTTCTCATCTGGTTGGGTTATTATTATTATTATTATTGTAAAATTTGTCAAGTTGCTATAATGCTGCTGTTTTTCGTAAGGTTTTCTGGTCACGAGGTATTTCAAGTTAGTCCTCACAATGTTGCATGTTTGCATTTTGGTTCTTTATTAAAAACAGACATAGGTGTTCATGATCCACAGGTTACACTTACTAGACTGTGTTTGCTTTTTGCGAACAACTTGCAATAGCAGCCTTGCTTACGTTATCCAAGCAAGTTTTTCCAGCACTCATCATCATCATCATCATTATTATCATTTACATCAGGTCGTAAATATCCAATGATGGACATGAGCATCTCATGTTAAGGACTCACCGCTTTCGCCCTCTCTTCACCATTAACGCTACGCTCCGTCGCCGAAAGGAATTTTACGCCTGGCGTTAACGCGATAGTGATACTCGTACCGCCTCGTTTATCGGAGACTATGAGATTTTTCTGGCATTTTCCAAGTGATGACCGACCAGCACTACGACTTGCCAACAACTACGTTTATTGTTACGTCGCCACCATACTGTGAGCAAGTCTAGTACTATTATATTGCGTAATCGTCAATTGCTTCCTTGATAGCAAGCAAGTTAGTAAGTAAGGAATAGATGTGTTACGTGTAACGTGTAAATGAGATGAAGCGGAAAGGAAAGGACTTCACTACACATGACATGCACACCTCCTACTGGTCTGGTGTATACGAAACCGAGGGGCATACCAGGGAGTCTGTATCATCCTTTTAGAAAGAATGGGTCAATGTATGAAAGAGTAGTATGAATGTGTAAGCCCGAGACTGCTATAGATACGAATGAAGGTGGGATTAAAGAAGCTGTTTGTGTTAGATGTCTACGCCCCAGACGTGTCTAAGTCCACTTATATCCGAGAGCTATTATACACTTAGAGTAGTCTATTATAGAAAATGCCATATAGTTATCCTTGTTGCTACTCTTGTTAGAACAGTTGTTGCTCGATAGAGATGCCTCACGTATTCAGCCAGATACCATGTTGTTAAACAACCCGAGCAAACGGAGTAGTACTCGTAAATAAATGTATACATATAAATGAAATTTAAGTGTTTGCGTGTGATATCGAAGTAACTGCAATAAAGTATTATGAATTATGATTCGATTAGGAATAGAAATAAGTAAAAGAAATCAATATTACAACATTAATGTCTAAAATAAACGTTATCAGTTATAAAATACATTTTTAGACATTTAAACATACAGCTGGACATATACAAAAATGGTGTTAACCGGTATGATAATATTACAAAAAACACTAGCAACTCCTTCAGGTTTCGCACGGCTGCAATTAACCTGTATGCTGTTATCTTTTTGTTACCTGAGGTTAATTAAGTTAACATTCTACAATTTTTAATGCTGGTTAACTCTAATACGAAGCTACAAAAATGATGAATGATATACTTTTATTTGCATGCTACTGAAACCAAAATAACAGTTTTAAGATTTTTGTCGGTCTGTCGGGGTTGATATTCGGAATGGCTGAACCGATTGTGATTAAACTTCACGAACAGATAGAGAGCAATGCCGATCTGAAGGGTATTTGCATGCTATTAAGACATCAATAACAATCGCACACACTCTAACGCGAAGCGGAGTGGTTGGGCTCCACTGTCGAATCTTTAATCACTCGTTTCACTCACATTGAGACATTTTTATTACCTTACATCGCACTATTATGTTATGGAAAACACATGACTGGGAAGAACACATGTTTTTGGGCTACAGGATCCACTTACCATCAGGTGGACTGTGTGCTCGTTTATCACCCCCATTCTATTAAAAATATATTATGACCTTAACGTCGCTTGTTCTTCTGTTGCAGGGCTAAGTGGTAAGTGCGGCGAGGCTGCAGCGCGGGCAACTTGCAGTAATGCTGCGACTTGCGCGGCACAAAGCCTCCGCAGAGCTATAAGTGATACGTACAAGCACGCGAATGTGTTGTGTTACATATTCATGGACATAGTTACAAAGTAAACTTAAATACCAGCATAATAACATATTTTTGGATAGTTGCTCACCGCCGGTATAATAGCTTTGCTATAGCTGGTGTGCTTTTAAGGCAACAGTGAATGATAATAATGATAGTGTCCTCGAGACCGAATTCCGTTTGTAGTGGCCAGTCCCAACGGACACCACCTGCGCAAGGCGGGGTTATGCAGGATAATGTACGAGTGTATACGCTATCAATCTCTGTTTCCTCATTCTCCGATGTCTCAATCAGACAGCACTCTGCCGCAGCTGGAGAGAGATCAAGCGTAAGACGTTAAGTTTTTCCGAGGCGCGTGGTTGAAACACTGTCAACTTCCTGACTCTGGTTGCTGCTGAGTATTTGTTGACAGATGACCCTCATCCCACAACTACGTGCACTATCACCGTCACCACGAAGCCCGACACCACTATACTAAGATAGACACACCACCGTCGATTATACTTCACGCGTTTCGCTTGTATCATCAAACGAAATAGACTCTGCTATTACAGACCGCTAAGTGAGCTATGACCACCCCCTTATTCATTTTATTAGAAGATTCTTTTTTGTCGTAAGCATTGCCCTCACAGATAACTAAACTTCCTTATAATTTTTTTATCAAATTAGAGAAAACTTGTGTCTTCTGTTACAAGTGAGTCATAGCAAAATTCATGTGAAAATTTAAATTTGACCTCTGCGTCCGTCGCTCATCGACACTTCCGACTTGTAACAGCTTAGCCGCGACTTGCGCGCTAAGATAATGAGACACAGGAATAACGGACTACCTAACTTACAAACTAACGTAACTACTGCTGGGCTATCTTAACAATTAAACCTTAGTTTTTATACAAACTTTTTTGTTTTTTGTTTTTGTAATAAAGTAGCAGCTTAATACTGCTGTGTTTTTCGTAATTTTTTTTTCTACAAATTCGATTGAAAATGATTACTTTCGTAATGGTTATGAATCATTACTTAGCACTTCTTTTCTAGAATTCAAAAATCTTTACATCAACGACTGACTGTTCAGTGTTCACTGAGATATTATTTACTACGTACTACATTACACCTCAATAGCTATAAAGCTCAAATAAATCGAAAATTGATGTGCCTCGTACGAATTAAAAGAGCTGCGGCCCTCACCAGATGGAGTAACGACCAATTTAGATGTGCAGGAAATTAATGGAAGCATGTAACTAAGGGCAATTTTTGAAAGACCTGTGGTGGGCAGTAATGATGACTAAAGAAACAATGGCACATTGTCGAAAGTTTTTTATAAATAGGCAATAAAAAGAAACCAGTACGAAGCGATATTAGTCTTATAGCAGGGCTCGGACCGCGAACCTAAACGGTCGTGAACATACAATACTATAATACATACACAATAGAACAGGGGAGTGGTCGGAGCCCGTGTAGCTACTAACATGCCACTAACATGTCAATTCACAACTATAAATGTCAACACAATCAATCATTTTCAATTTTCAACCATTTTCAAACCCTTTGGCATTTGTTGGGTGTCTGCATTGATGTAAGAGGATAGATGTAGATTCTGGGCCCAGCAAGGTGGATTGTCCCATCCTATTTAAAAAATGGCAAATTGTGCAATAGTCAAGTGTCGAAAGAACAGCGGGAAATGGAATTTAAATAAAGGAGACATATCCTACAACCAGTAAGTTGAAACTATATATGTTGTACGGGCTGCAACACGTACATTTTTGTGGCGTCGGCAGTTTACGCTATAACGCTACAATAATGCATTTTGAGTCAGTGCGCTAATTGAGCCCTGCAATACCGGTCACGCGTGCTCTCAGTATCATTTCCCATCTATCATTAAATTAGATTTAGTTGGTTCTATCAATAAAATATCAATTATCAACTTCCCAGTATTGAATATCATTTACTATCAACTACTATCAACCGACCACGTGGAGGTCCCGACGCAGCCCCTACATATTTTTGGTCCTTCGACAAACTCGCGTGTGTGTACAAAAAGTGTGCATCACAAGTGAGAGCAACCAGCAGGAGACGTGAGCTATCATCGGATTGTCAACATCGGGAGTCGAAGAGCTGCAAACAGCTGAGCAAATCTGAACAAGTAAGATCTTTCCTATTTTATTATCACTATGTCCAACATGGAGGATATTTTGGCAAATCAACGACAATTCTTCGGGGCAATAGAGCAGACTTTTACCAATTTAAAAAATATAGTGCCTATCGAAAGACGGCAGATTATATCAAACGGAGGTTAGATACTCTAGACAAATACTGGGCAGAATTTCAATCTAATCATGGTATATTAAGTGGAATAGAGTATGCGAAGTCTCATTCCTATTTTACGAGGAACCAATTTGAATCGTTTAGAAATAAATACGAGAAAATTAGAACAGCAATCGCTACCTATCAGGTTAGGGATGACAGGCCTACAACTCCAGTGTTGAAACCCGCTACACCGCTTGGGATGCCTGGATCATCTTGGCAGCCGTCGCCGCAGGTTACCCTGTCCCAGTCCCAGGGGACTAGTAGCAAGACGGACGAAATGTTACGCAAGCAAACTAGTAATTTTAAGACATTCGAACACACAGTATCCATATCAACTTACATTCGATATTAGAAAAGTGGGAATGCGATCATTTATTACGTGCTATATAATCGCGTTGGTCTATAATTGATAATATGTATTGGGAGTTAGACAGTGAGCTTGGGGGTAGGAACCCAGATTATGAGTTATCATTTTTCACAAACGAAAGAAAATACAACGAGATTATCAAATCCATCAATCGTAAATTGCGGTCTGTATCATATCGAGAGCAATCGACCCCTCACGTAGAGATACCTACATTTAGTGGTAGCTACCATGAGTGGAGTTCCTTCAAAGACCTATTCACGGAAACTATTCACGGCAACCCGTCATTATCTAACGCACAAAATATGCAATTCCTTAAAACTAAAGTTAGAGGTGAAGCGGAGAGATTTATTCAACATCTACCAATATCATATGATAATTATCCGATCTGTTGGGACATACTTAACAACAGATATAATAATAAACGCTAATTTTCCGCTCGCATATCGATATCTTACTAAATATCCCCGTAATGCAACATACATCATTAAATCATATAAAGCGTATTCACGACACAACCCTAGAAACATTAAACGCTAACAAAAATTTAGGCGTTAACGTTGATTCATGGGATTCATTGATTGTGCATCTCCTTTTGCAAAAGCTCAATGCTGACACGCATAATGAATACATGACGTCAGTCAAGGAGCTCCGCGAGTTACCTAATTTGCACGAGTTTCTTTCGTTTATAGAAGGCAAGTTTTCAAGCTTAGAATCTTCTCGAAAGAAGCCTGAGACCTCTGCAAAAATATATATGCAATAATAGGTATCAAAGAAACTTGAATGTTTATCGGAAAGGCTTGTTTAAGCCTTTCCGATGCACGGTAAATTCACTTTTCAACAATCAAACGCGAATAACAATACTTCTTGGAAATTTTATAAGTGTGGACTTTGCAAAACCAATGAACATTGAAAGGGGAGGGTTTAAAGGGGGGAAATTTTTTTGGGGGGGGTTTTTTTTTTTTTTTCTTTTTTTTTTTGCGGAAAAAGGGTCTTTATTACTGTCGACAGTTTTTAAACATGCCCTCCTAAAGCTTAAAACTGTATCAAGACTGAATTTATGCGAAAATTGCATTTATTCACATAATGGTAAGCCGTGTATTTCCGACAAAAGATGTACAGAGTGCAATGAAGCGCATAATTCTATTTTGCATAAATCATTTCAACATAGTTATAATAATTCGCCGAAGGCAGCAACCCGCGTAAGCAACCAGAAACCTGAAACTTTGGGTCAAGTACAAAGCAACTTACACGTGCAATGTGATGTGCCTGAAATTCTTTTAGCCACAGCTATACTTAAGGTACACAAATATGATGGGAGTTTCGTCAACATGCGTGTTCTAATAGATCAGGGGTCCCAAGCTTCTCTCATCAGTGCTCGGTCCTCAGTTGCTCGGCCAACCTCGACTTCGATGTAGGGGAGTGATATTTGGAGTAGGTACTAAGGAGAGCAATTGTAAGGGCGTCATGACTATCAAATGCAAAACTATAAATAACCATTTTGAATTTGAACCGGAAGTATACATAATGAAAAGCCTTATCAGAAATTTACCTAACTTTAGCTTTTCAAAACCGTCCTGGACATATTTAAATAACATCACGTTAGCAGATCCCGAATTTAACATCAGTCACCAGGTCGACCTTCTGTTAGGAGCAAATGTTTATTTTTTGATTTTATTGGAGGGAATTTTTAGGTTGAATGATAATATACCGATAGCTCAGAATACTCGTTTAGGCTGGATTTTAACCGGTAACGTCAAAACTTTACAATGTAACGTGATCATTAACGACTTAAAGGAGATCCAAAAATTATGGGAGATGGAGGATCAGTGAAGAATATACGCTATCATTAGATGATCAACAATGCATCGACTATTACAAGTCTACTACTATCAGGCGCGAAGACGGTCGATACGAAGTACGTTTGCCCCTCACTCCAGACTTTTCGGATAAGCTGGGAGAATCAAAATCAAAAGCTATCGCTCAATTTAGATCGTTAGAAAACACATTCAAAAAACATGAAAACATTAAAAATCAATATCAATCATTTATAAAGGAATACCGCGCCCTCGGACACATGATTCCAGCTACCGATAAACCGACTCAGGGACGTCGGCATTGTGTATTAAGTCATCATTGTGTGCGTGCTGACGACACTATCATTAATTCCAAATTTAGAGTGGTATTTAATGCTTCATGTAAAAAATCATCAGGGAATAGCTTGAACGACGTCATGAGA